TGTGCCTGGCACCTGCAGGGTCACTGGGGAGAACGAGGAACTCCCAAAGGCTGGATTTGTCTGCTCCCTGGGCAGGGGAAGGTGCTCCAGGAATGCAGCAGAAGCAGGCACACAACCAGCCCAGGCACAGATGTCAGGCCACATTTGGAAAGCTGATTTCTCATCCTATTGCCTAATCCCAAATCACACTGGGAGCGAGGATGATATTCCATCTCACTTCTATGGCTTGACTCCACCAGGAAAGGCTGCAGCTCTGCTCAGACCTTGAGGATTTGGAACCCATGTTCATTTAACCCTCCTGAACTTTGCCTGATATCGTGTTGTTGCTCATTAGCTTTGCCCTGCAAAGCCTGGCTGACATTTCATAAACTCATTAGCAGGAGATCAGAGGCTCAAACATCATTCCTGGGGCCATCCTTTGAGGAACAGATTCTGTGGTGTGTTTGCTCCTCAGATCTCACTCTGGTTCCTGAACCTACCCTGAACTTGGGAGGGACAGGCTCACTGGAAAACCAACAGGAGCTGCTGCTGCTGTGCTGTCTGTACCCCCAGGGAGATGTGCTGCTGTCCCAGGACTGCATTCCTGCCCCAAACTCCGAGCTCTGCGAGCAGCCCCAGCTTCCAGAGGGATTAGATTGTGCATCCCAGGCTGCCAGGAGCAGGGAGAAGAGCTGAACATATTTGCCTTTTCTCCTCTCTGGCACAAAACCCCTCTCTAAGCCTCTCTCTGATAGGCTCGTTCCCCTGCGCCGGGAAGCAGAAGGGATTTTGTGTCAGGCACAGAGATGTAATGTCCTTTCAAAGCAAATCAGGAGACAGCCTGGACTTGCTGCCCTGTCACATTCCTTGGCAACAGCCTGGCAGGCTGGCAGCAGGCAGCACTGGGCTGTGACAGCCCTGCAGAGCCGTGCAGGGCACTGCAGCACAGGGGATCCCACTGCTGGAAACGGCAGCTCAGTGACTTTGGGGAAGTTGGGGTACTTTGGGATGTGTTAAAAGCAGGAATGCACGCTTCAAAGAGGGCTCGGTGTCTTTTAAGGCTCAATCCTTAGAGCACTGGTGCTTGAAGGCAGAAGCTCTGATGTGTTAGATGAGGTTACAAACACATCTCGCTCCCCTGCTGAGCTTTTATTGGGAATAAAAAGGGATCCAGAGGAGAGGTTTGTCCACTTGCTATCATTTCTCACTCTCCACAAGTCTTTTATCACAGAATCACGGAATGGTTTGGGCTGGAAGGGACCTTAAAGCTCATGTCACTCCAGCCCCTGGCATGGGCAGGGACACCTCCACCAGGACTTTACATCTCCTGATTCCAACTCCTCAGGCTCTGCCTCCTCCATCCAAACTTCTCATTTGTTTGGAACTAAACTTTGATGATTACAGCCCGAATTTTGAATGTATTTATGCAGTTTATTCCCATTAGCTGCCCACATGTCTGGAGCTCAGTGTTTCCTTTCTTGGGATGAATTACCGAGAAAATATTCAGCTAGACCATCCCTGGAATGGCAAATGGCTTCACTCCTCCTCTTCCACTTGGATTTGGGCTTCTGAAATGCAATTTTCAGAATACAGGACCTGTGCCAGCTTGGCCATAGGGCTGAATGAACAATTCCTGTCACTATTTTTGACAAATATCACAGACATTTGAAATTGTGAGGGTGGGCAGGCCCTGGCACAGGGTGCCCAGAGAAGCTGTGGCTGCCCCTGGATCCTTGGAAATGTCCAAGGCCAGGCTGGATGGGGCTTGGAGCAGCCTGGGATGGTGGGAGGTGTCCCTGCCATGACAAGGGTGGGACTGGATGAGCTTTAAGGTCCCTTCCAACCCAAACCATTCCATGATTCTGTGATATTTTTCTCAGTGTTGATTTTTCACAAAAAGTAACAGAATTTCTATGGAAAAGATAGAACCTTTATCAATATCTCCAAATGTTTTGATTCAAAACTGTGTCACCACTGCAATGTGGGAGACAGTTCGACAGGATTTTGGTCCCACCTTCCCCAAGTTCTTCCAAGGCTTGGGGCTGTCACCACCTCTGACTCACAAAAGTTATCATTTTCTTTGAAATTTCAACCAATATTAACAATTTTCCTTCATCACAGGAGCACAAAGAACACATATCCACACCATAAACTTCTCTACTTGCCTGATTCTCATTTTGGGGATAAAGGAGATGCTCTGCAGTGTCCAGGGCTGAGTGGTTCTGCCAGCAGGCACTGGGGGCAAAGAGAAAGGGAAGCAGGGTTAGTTTGCTGTGTCAGCTGGGGGATGACCCAGCTCTGGTGAGGTCTGAGCTCTGTGCCAGCAGCTCCAGCCACGGGCATCTGTTTCTGCTCCTCTTTACACAGCTAAATCCTGGGTTTTACAAAGCTTTGTGTAAATGGCCTTGCACTATTTAAATACAAACCTTCAAACAAACAGCCATGTCCAGCTGCACAACGATGGCTCTGGAGCAGTGGGAAATGCACAGAAATGTGAGTATTTCGCTCTGGGCAAGGGGCTTTTTCCCCACTGAGATAATCTGGGTGTTTTCCCCCAGTCCCAGGATTTACTGAACTGCCTGGAGCAGCTTCACCAGTCCTGGTTTTGCTCTGGCCCTCCTCAAGCCACACATGAGCTGACCACAAAATCATTCCAGAGAAATGGAAAGGCAAGGTACCAATTTCAGAAGTGCCTTTTAAACAGAGTCTGTGCACACTCAGAGCCTCAGGCTTGAAAACTCTCCCGAAGCTCTGGAAACCACTCCCTGCTCCCTGCCCCCATATCCAGGTATTGTACTTGGCAACAGTTTTCCCTTCACTGGTTTTCAACAGCTCCGAATATTCATTTATTTCTTTCTCTTTTTTTTTCTTTTTTTTTTTTTTTAATTTCCACACCTCCTTCCCCTCCAAAGCTCCCCAGGATGAGCTTCCTATAGGGATAACATCGCTCCCTGCCAGCTGCAATTAACACTTGGTAAGAATGTTTCATCAGAGAGAAAAACATCCAGCTAAGTTCCTCAGCACTTGGCTTCTGCTCTGATTGAAGTCCCTGGCTTAAAGGCAGGAAGGCACAAAGCCTGGCCTAAACTGTAATTTTCTCCTGCTGCAGGTTGGTTTTGGGGGTGCTTTAGCTAAACTAGTGAGCTGAATGAACCAGGTGAGCTGCTAAGTCTGTGCACAACACAGGTCCTGACAATCTTAAAGTGCTTTTTAAATGCTTAAACCATAGAGGAGTAATCACTGTGGAATCAGCATCACCTCTTAAGGCTGCTAAATCTGGTTTGTCATGCATAAAAAGCAGAGCATGCCTTCCTTCCAGGAGTTGCTTTGAATCTACTGCTGTAAATTCTTGCCTCTGCCACCCTGCAGCCAGGAAATGTGGCTGTGAAAACAAGTTATGACAGGGAAAATTCAAATGCTTTATCCCGAGCCATCCAAGCAGCTGGATGCTGACAGAACAAGAAAGGTAAGTGCCACATCGTTTTCCCTTGTCTGTGGATAGGATGGTGGCATTTTCCCTCTCTGGGGTACCCCCTGCTCCTTCACCTCTTCCAAACACCTCCCTGTGCCCTGTGAGCTCCCCTTGGAACACTCCCAGACTCTCCCAGATTCCTGCTTTGGCTCCACTTTTGGCAGGCAACCAAACTCCCAGGCTGCTTTTGTGCCCACACCTGCATTGTTCGTGTCCCTTTTTCTGTGCTCGCTGGTTTTTGGTGCAGAAATAATGCCCTGGATGTCCAGAGAGCAGCCAGAGCGGGCCCTGCTGCTCAACAACCACAGCAAGGAGGGTCTGGGGTTGTCTCCAAACCCCCCAAATGTTCTGAATGTCTCTCCTTGCCAGAGCTGCCTTAGCAAAGCTTTAATAAGCTCAGGACTAGGAGCAGTTACACTGGCAGAGCCCACATTGTTCCTCTCAACACCTGATTCCTCCTTATCCCATCTCTGACATCACAGCCAGGCTTCCATACCCATGGGAACGTCCCTCCCCATGGCACAGAACCAGAGAAATGTGGCTCAGCTGTGACTCAAGCCCCAGGGCTGGAAAATAATCCCTTCACCGAGGAGAGGCTCCAGCAGTGCAGCTGAAATTGAGGGAATTGGGCAGGTATTGGAATCCTGGGCCCTGGCAGAGGAGGGAGATAAATATCCAGTGATTTATCCGGGACAGGAAGGGCTGATGGAGCTGTAAGAGTAATTAACCTCTGGCGTTATTTAAATTGAAGATGTCTTGGCATGAAGTGTCCTTGGGAGGCACCAGTGAAGTCAGGCTGATTTTAAAAAGTTCGAGGGCTTGGGAGACAATAAGGGTGTGAGCTCCTGATCTCCCTGAGCATGAGAGCCCTCCCTCCTCCCACCCTCGGGCACACCTTGCTGCCCCTCCCTTCCACAGGTATTTTCTGTCATGAAGGCAAAAATGTTGGTGTGGTTTGGGTTTTTTTGTTGTTTTTTTTTGTAGAGCTGGTTTGAAAAGGCTCTGTGATCATTGGTTCTGGCACTGGGGGGACAGGCAGAGTGGACCCTGCAGTTTGGATCCTGCTTTTTGGGGGTAGATCTTGTTATTTGGGAGTGGACCCTGCTGTTTGAGGGTAGATCCTGTTGTTTGGGGCTGGATCCTGCACTTTGGAAGTGCCTCCTGACCCCCATAAGTTACACACTTGTGTTCTGGAGCTCAGCAGTCCATCCTTTGTACAGAGCAGGAGGTGGGTGAAGGTGCAGAGATTGGCACCTGTTCCTGCCCACTCCCTGCTCAGCCCCTTGGCTCCCTGAGAGCCAGGAGTAGCCACAAGAGCTGCCTCTGGAAGGGACTGGCCCCTCCAGCCCGAAGGAGAGGGAAATGCTGCAGCTCATCCTGTTCAACAGCAGCCATGGGGAAAATAAAGATTGGGGGTGGATCTTGAGTGACTCTCCCAGAACAACCTCCAGCAGTGACCTCCAGGCCTCCCTAAAGTTCACTTTTTATTTTTTTTCATTGTCAACAAGAGAAAGAGTGGGAGAAATCTCACCACAAAGGTCTTGGGTAATTTGCTATTTTTCTCCCCTTGCAGAGCAGAAGGTTTGAGATGTGGCTTCCAAGGGTGTGATTTTAAATTAATGGAATCAAAGTCAAATGTTGTCAGTAGCTTAAAAACATTTATGAGAAGTTACCAATGAAATTCCAACCATTCCTCCAAGGTGTGGCCCTGAGAACATTTCTGCAAAGAATGAGAACTCTGAGGTGGGTGCTGAGCTCTGATCCCTTGGTGCCTGCAAACTCCAGCATCCCTGAACCCCTGACTCCTGTCCCACTGGCAGCACTTTCTGGAAGTGCTCCAGAGGCTACAGCCAAAGTCAGGATGGGCTTTTTGGCGTGGCTGCTGGGCTGCTCCACATGGGATGTGGCACAAATGTGACTCTTGGTTCCTGTGCCAGAGGAGCCATGTGCAGAGCTGCACATGCCACTGCCAAATACCAGCCTCGTGCAGGGAGCCCTTCCCTCTGGGGAACACAGGGTTAATTGCCCTGCTAATCACTCTGTTTCACTAATCAGTCCCTGCAGAGGGGTTCTGTTTGTTTTTCCAGGCTTATACATCCTCTACCCAGCGTTAATGGTGATTTATTTAAGAGGCAAATTTTTGATTTTGCTTTCTGGCATTTATTTTAAGGTTTGGTTTTTTGGGTGTTTTTTTCTTCACAGCAAACATAAAATCTGCTAAGATATTTCTCCTAGGAATTTTATTGAATCAGCAGGTCTATTCCCAATGTGAGTCCTTATTTCAGAGAATTCCCTGTATTCATGGAACCATGCTGCTGAGCCTTATGGACACCACAGGTCCTTAACAAAGAACACAACTGGGTTTTTAAAGGAGTAGAGGACACAGGACACTGCGGGACACTCTCAGGTATTGGGCCCCTCACAAGTCAGACACTGAGGGGTTGGAGTGTGTCCAGGGAAGGGAACAGAGCTGGGAAGGGGCTGGAGCAGCAGGAGCAGATGAGGGAGCTGGGAAAGGGGCTCAGCCTGGAGAAAAGGAGGCTCAGGGGGCCCTTGTGGCTCTGCACAACTCCCTGACAGGAGGGGGCAGCCGGGGGAGTTGGGCTCTGCTCCCAGGGAACAGGGACAGGAGGAGAGGGAACAGCCTCAGGCTGGGCCAGGGGAGGTCTAGGCTGGATATTGGGAATATTTCTTCATAGGAAGGGTGGCCAGGCACTGGCACAGCTGCCCAGGGCACTGATGGGATCCCCATCCCTGGAAGTGTTAAAATGTGTGGATGTGGCACTTGAGGGCCTGGTTTCATGGTGAACGTGGGTGGTACTGGGTTCCTGGCTGGATTTGATCTTTTCCAACCTGATCCATTCCATGACTCAGTGACTGACCCATGAACAAGGTAACTGTGCTCACTGGGCTGCCCTTGAGTGGCAGCTGCCCTGAGCAGCAGCACAGAAAAGAGAGGTGCCCTGAGGAGGGCAGGAGCTGCTCCTTACCTGTCCAGCAGAGAGCCCAGCGAGGTGACAGCGCTGTCCCACTGTGCTGCCAGCACCAGGCACAACCCATCCTTCAACAGGGAGCACTGCAAGAGAGGGAGAACAGAGCTTTGGTGCTGCTCTGCACTTGAACAAGTCTCTAAGTCTGCCTGATGGGTGAGGAAGAGGAGGCAGAGATCCTTCCAGGCAGAGCCAGTGCCATGGCTGAGCTGTGATCCCCAGAGCCCACCGGTGCTGCTGCTGCCCTCAGAATGAAAACCAGCAGTGTCTGGCTGTGTTATTCAGTCCCTAGCTCTGCTGGAAGCAGGAACACCAATCCAGGTAAATACTGAGATACTGCAGCAGAAACACTCGTTACTTGGAGCAGCCCATCTCCCTTCTAGAGGGAGAGCAAAGGCTGTAACATTCACCTTTGGCTCAGCAGTGACAGATCCTTCTGGAAACACGCCAGCTCTGCCAGGGCCATTTATCTCTGGCAGGAGGAAGGAGGGATGGCTCTGCTCCCCCAGCACGGATTTGTCCTTCCTAGAGAGCTGTGCACATTCCATGTGCAGAGGGATGGATCCTCAGGGGATTCAGGGGACAGGCAAGCAGTGCTTACACTAATTGGCTGCTAGATGTAATTGCTGTTCCATACAGATGTACTTCAAAGGGATGCTGTCAGTTTTAAAAAGCACAACCTGAAAAGATCTTACATGTTCCTATTACAGATAACACCCAAGACTTAGAGCTGAGAGCTGGAAGCCCAAATGTTTGTGTTTTGTGAAGGGCCTGCTGTGGTCTGACAGCCCTCAGGTGACTCTTGGTTTGCTACTGCCACTGTAATTACTTTTCCCCCTTGTTTACCCTGCTGCTGACAGCACTTTCCTGCACATTCCACCTCCCAGCTTTGCCCAGGCAAGGTTCCTGACTGGGTGGGTTTCTCCTACACCAAGAGGAAAGCAGTCTGGGCCTGGTATTGTGTTGCTGTGGAGCAATGTCAGCTCAGGCCAGCAGCACATCCTGTGTCCAAACCTCAGGCTGGGCTGGACCTACTGAGAGCTACAGAATGGCCTGGGTGGGAAGGGACCTCCAAACCCATCCAGTGCCACCCCTGCCATGGCAGGGACACCTTCCACTGTCCCACTTGGACACTTCCAGGGATCCAGGGGCAGCCACAGCTTCTCTGGTACCCTGTGCCAGGGCCTGCCCACCCTCCCAGGGAACAATTCCTTCCCAATATCCCATCCATCCCTGCCCTCTGGCACTGGGAGCCATTCCCTGTGTCCTGTCCCTCCATCCCTTGTAAATAGTCTCTCTCCAACTTGTAGCTCTATCACATAAAGGCTACATTTAGGTCACCCTAAAGCCTTTTCTTCTCCTGGTGAACAATCACAATTCCCTCAGCCTCTCCTCACAGCAGAGCTGCTCCATCCCTCTGATCATCCTGGTGCCTCCCCTGGACTGGCTCCAGCAGCTCCAGGTCCTTCCTGTGCTGGGAACCCCAGAGCTGGAGGCAACACTGCAGGTGGGAAATCTGCCTCAGGCTCCAGGACACAGGCCAAGAAGAAGAAGAGGAAGGGTTTTTAGCATTGTAGAGGAGGATTAAAGGGGTGTGATTACAGAGAGGGAAATAGGAACTGTATTTATATGGAGAAACAAGACAGGAGACAGCAGCAGCACACAGAACAAGGTGATGGCTGACTGGAATGAAACATTCAATGAATGAGTGATGGATAGGCCATTCCCATGGGATGGTGCTGAGGGCTCCCAGGGATGCAGGAACTCCAGGAAGTGTCCCCAGTGCCCACATTACTCACCAGAGGTGCCAGGGCTCAGAGGCAGTGTTGCAATCGTGCCACCAAAGCCTCGGGGCAGCACACCAGAGCAAGGCATTACAAGGCTCTTCTTTTATGCTGAGGAAGCAAAGCCCAGCTCCAGCTGTTCCATACCTTTGCTGCAACACTGCCCTTGGCCCTGCTGAGCATCTGGGAGATGCAGAGAGCCTGAGGTGAGTCCAGCACAGCCAGGCGAGCTCCGGTCACCACAAAGCCGCTGCCCACGAGCTCCTCCAGCAGCTCCACGTACGGGGGGGGCTCCGAACCCTGCAGGATTATCCCAGGCAGCACCAGGCAGGTGCTTTGGCAGAGCTTCTCCAGCAATGCCTGATCTGATGGCAAAAGAACAAAACACTTATTTGGTCTCTCCCCCAGCACCTCTGAGCCCTCTCAGTGCCTCTGTGTGGCACAGACACGTCCGAGGCAGTCAGAGGCACTGTGGGGTTGGGATGTGCCCTGGGATCTGTCCTGGGATGTGCCCTGGGATGTTCCTGGGATCTGTCCTGGGATGTGCCCTGGGATGTGCCCTGGGATCTCTCCTGGGCTGTGCCCTGGGATGTGCCCTGGGATCTCTCCTGGGCTGTGCCCTGGGATGTGCCCTGGGATGTGCCCTGGGATGTGCTCTGGTATCTGTCCTGGGATCTCTCCTGGGCTGTGCCCTGGGATCTGTCCTGGGATGTGCCCTGGGATCTGTCCTGGGATGTGCCTGGGCTGTGCCCTGGGATGTTCCTGGGATGTGCCCTGGGCTGTGCCCTGGGCTGTGCCCTGGGATGTGCCCTGGGATGTGCCCTGGGATGTGCCCTGGGATGTGCCCTGGGATGTGCCCTGGGATCTCTCCTGGGCTGTGCCCTGGGATCTCTCCTGGGCTGTGCCCTGGGCTGTGCCCTGGGATCTCTCCTGGGCTGTGCCCTGGGATCTCTCCTGGGATGTGCCCTGGGATGCTCATCCTGAGCTGCTGCATGCCTTTGTGTCCCTGTCTGGAGATCACAAGACAGCAGGAGTGACCCCATTTCAGGAGTCAGACAAGGACAGCTGCTGGTTTGCTACAGGAGATACTATTCCATTTTCATTTTTTCCAAGCAGAGAAAGCTGCTAATCCAGCTGCTTTTATAATCCCAAATGTAATTCTGCTCAGCATACGTGAGGCTTAATGTACTTCATATTTTCCTCATGATAAATCTGTCTGTCCATTAGGCAGCAGCTTTGTGATAATTATTTGCTGGAAGGAGGTTTCCTTGTGTGCAAGAGCTTCCTCTAGTGTCCAAGATGAGCCCAGAACGTGAGTGATGTGTCTGCTTTGCTGGAGGCACTTACGAGATCGTGCCTGACAGTTCAGAGATCACGTGGACTTGCTTTTCCAGGGCAGTAACTCTTTGAAATACATTTTCTGAGACATAAACACATCAGGGCTGTACACTGCTTTCCTTTTTATTCTGCTTAGGCATCTTCAAAGCTAAGATATCCCCGTGCAGCAGGAAATTAGGGGCATGTATTTTGAGATTAGCTCCCGACACTGAGCCATGAAAAGCCTGCAGAATACCTGTGCTCTCTCCACAACAAGCCATTTTGTTATTTTATTTGATGCAATCTCTTCTACAAATCTAGTGATTCACGGGAAACCTGCTCCTTTCCCAGTGTGCACTAAGATGATGGGAAAACATCCTTTCCAAATCCCTTGGGACAAATCCTCCTTCAGGGACCCCTTGCACAAAAGTGACTTGGTGTTCACCCCAGGAGCAGAGGACTTGATTTACCACACCCTCCTTGCACTTCTGCACCTGCTGGTGTGTGACCAATGCCCCCCCAAAGTCCTGTGTCAGGCAGGGCTGGGTGATTCTGTCATTTTTTATCCTGCTGCTCTCCCAACCACAACAATCCTGTGGTTGCACTGCTGGGATTAAGGACTGCAGTGATCAGGTGTAGTACAGGAACATTCTCTGAGCTGCCCACATCAGTCACATCAGAACTGAAGCTACAGGAATGGGAGCAGCCTGGTCCTAAACAATTCTGTTCCCCAGGGAGCACCACAGTGATGCTTCACCTGGTCCCTGCTTGTTTATAAAGGCTTGGGATCAATCCACAACATCCCAAGGTGGGAGCATCCCCTCGTGTCAGTGCCATCTCCTGCCCCTGCAGCACAGCTGTGTTTACACATGTCTATCAAGTCAAATCAGCAGGAAAGGCCCTGAGAAGCTTCTGCTTCCTAGGAAGTGTCAGCCTGGCTGAGGCTTCACTCCCAATCAAAGTCAGCCTGGCCGTAGCTGGGAGCTGTTTGGAGCTGGCAGCTGCTCAGCAGCAGTGGGAGCTGAAGGAGCTCTCAGCCCAGCTCAGGAGAGGCCTCTGGCCACGCTGCCAGCAGCACTCCCTGCACCAAGTGATATTTATCTACTCAGAGCACAGAACAGCTCACACTGCCCAGCCCTGCGCTCCTGCCTGTCCAGGGGAGGCTCTGAATGGACACCAACCACCAGGGTTGTGCTGAGACACCTGGGAAGGGTTCAGAGAGGAACATGTGCTGGTCTGACAGCAGCTGTGTTGTCAGTGCTTGTTCTGCTGCTGCTGCTGTTAAGGTCAGCTCTCGTGGGCAGCTGTGTGTAAAAAACCCCTGAAGTGCTGGCAGATGAACAGTTAAAGGCTGGACTTCCCTGGAGCTGCTCTCTGCAGCTCAGAGCTGTCTCTCCCTTCTGAGAGGACATCAATACCCACTCTTGCTGACACCAGATGGTTTGTCTTGCTGTCCAATTAATCAATAGCAGTCCCAATCTCTAAGAGGAGTTACATTTCCTTACCAGGACTGCCTGGCTGCTCGGAGCCCAGGACACTGGGATGCCTCCCCGGGTCACGGGTTAGGATCTTGCGCTGCTTCCTGACTCCCAGGCTGAGGATGGGGTCATGTTTCAGGTTATGGATCTGCGGGAGGGAAGGGAGGGAAGGAGAGAGAAGCAAGTCATGTGAACACATTACCTAATGAGGAGAGATAACACTCCTCAAGTACTGATCCAGGCAAGCTGTAAAGCTTTTGTTGCTGTCGTGTATTTCTGTAATTGCCAGCCTAGAAAACACCTGCTTGTCTGGAGATACAAGAACATTTTGCATGCATTCTTCTTTTTAATTGAGGCTTAATTCAGTGCAGCATCTCATCATCCTTTGCAAGGTCCCATATCCAGACACATCATTCTAAGGTCTCTGCTCTCAGCTTTTCAAGGCCAGGAGCTCAAACCAGACCTGTGAGAGTGTGACAGCTTTACCCAGTGCCACGCTGGGGTGTAGCAGCTCCCTGTGTCCCTGAAGGAACTGGCACAGCCAGGATGCCCAGCACTGAGCTGCTCACCCACATGAGATGTGGCCATTTCCAGAGCTAATCTCCTGACAAGACCATCTCAGCTGGATCACCTCTGGGCCACAGCAAAGCTCAAACATTTCCATGCCTTGGCTGAGCACATCCCAATCCTTTTCACATCATCAGCCATCCCATCCCTGAATGACACAGAGCAGGTAAAAAAGCAGCTCCTGGGTCAAGCGTGGTTTAGCAGTCAGGGTGAGGCTGCTGTCTCTGCTTCCAAAGCTGTGTTGATCATTTAGGAGCACCAGCCCTGAGCCCTCCCAAATTTACAGCAGAGCTTGCTGAACAAACAGATCTGCAGCAGCTCTTCCCCACCGAGGCTGCTGGGTCAGTGCAGAGGGAGGAACATCCCCAGAATCAGCTCAGGAAACACATCCAGAGCTGCATTATCTAAAGCACAATAGGAGAGAAATCACGGGATAGCAGGGCCAAAGCTGCTGCTCTGGCACAGCAGGATAAAGCTCAGGAAAGGGCAGATTCCTACCTCCTGTTCCTGCCCTGTCTGACACTGGGCACAGCACAGCCCTTCTGGGAAAAACAGCTTCACATCCCGGACAGCCATTGGATAGGATCTGGAGCCTGAGAGATAAATACAATGAGAAGATTCTCTCAGGCCATGAATTAAACATTCTCTAGACTCACACTCATCTTTTGGAGAGATTGATGATGTGCAACTCACTGCAGTAATTGCTTTAAAGGCCAGCTGTTCTGTACAGTAATAGCAAACATTTTAAACCATTATATTTAGAATAATTCCACTGCATCCTTGGTATTTTGATTCTGTCCTACTATCACTCAGCAGCCTCCTCGTGTAAACAAGACTCCTTCTATTTCCTAACAGAGGAGCTGAGGGAATGTTAAGGAGGCTGTGTGAAACCTTCCAATTCCAGCTCTAAATCTGTTGTTCCCTTGCTTC